GGGTAGAGAATGTTTTTCCCTTGGCACTAGAAAATCCTTTATTTACTTTATGAAAGCACTTGAGAATCATCGTAAGGTAATAATTATCACGGTATGCTTGCACTAGCAAATCATTTATTTTATCAACATGTTTTTTGAAAGAATATGCATGATACATAACGTTGTTTATTTTTGGATCTAAGCCTACTATGTTTGCTAGTTCAATGTTATATGGTTCTCTGGTTTTAGTTTGAGCAAGTCATTACCCTCTTTTGGAGAACCAAGTTTGAGAGGCAAACATGTTTCTTAGGAAGAGTGCTTAGCATGTTGGATGTATGTGCAATCCTTTCATAGCTCGACTCTCTGTGGCAGACGGGGCAATGGCCCTTGTCATGAGACTAAAGGTTCGCATGACTAAAAGCTCAGCCTGCATCTCGCATTGCCTTACCCTGTTTTGGTCTAATTCTTACTATATTTTGTGTCTCATCACATCTATCTATTTATTTGTTTCCTAAAAAGTTTTTATTTTATTTGTTACCCTAAAAATCTCTTTTATTTATTGTTGGAGGATCATATTAATTTTCTACCATCAATAATAATCCTGATTTTGCGATGAGATGCAACGAATCCAGGACAACTAGCTATCATTTAAATTCAGGATAGCCAGTAAATTTAGTGTCGACAACATCCATGCCATGGTTCTTATCCTTCTTTTGCTAGGACTATATAGGGATGCTGTTATTATTTGTGTGTATCTTCTATATAAAAAAAAGGCCAAACAAGTTCATTGGTATATTTTCTATTACCCCGTCTCAAATTAACTTGTCTTAGATTTGTCTAGATACATATGTATCTAATGTCTAGATACATTCGTATCTAGACAAATCTAAAATAAGTAATTGGGGACGAAGGGAGTACATGACATCTTTCCTGTTTAAGTAGCTAGATGAGAAAGATAGAAGCCAATAGTTTAACAAGGAAAAACGTTTTTGTAAACTATTAAAAAATCGTACCGAAAAATAAAAAGCCTTGTATTTTCATTAATTCGGTGCAATGTATACAGAACACAGTACCACTATGTTGGGTACGCTACGCACCGCAACAGGAGAAACAAAAAAAAAAGGAAAAATACAAGTACATATGCATCATCGAGATAACTAGCTAGGTGGATACGAGACCACCTTCTAGAAGCACGATGCATGTGACTAAAGCGAGACAGACAATTTCTAGAAGGTAATAAATAATGAAATTATTGCTAAATGATCAAAGATGGCGTTGGATCTCTTTGTAGATCGGAGCCATGCACGTGCATCCATGCTTAAGTCGATAGAATGGATGAACTCAATCGGACTCGGGCGGTTGGTTTCGGATTCGACCTCGTCTTGTTCTCAGTTGGGGAAGCTGCCGTGTGGCCCGGGCTCCTAATGCATCATCTCCATTCCAGCGGTGAACCCCGGAGCCAGTGGCGACGTCGTCATCTCCGTTCCAGTGGCAAACACCAGCAACGGTGGCAACACAGTCAGTGTCTGCTGCTACTGTTGCATCTCCATTCCACCGACGAACCTCGGCGATGTTGGCATCACCCCGATATTGTCTGCTGCTGGATAATCTCCGTTCCAGCAGAGGGCCCCGGAGGTGGTGGCATCGCCATCATCATCATCATCACCATCATCATATGATGCTTAATCATCTCGTACATCGCTCTGTCCGCACTGGTGCCACCGAGCTCAAACCCATACCTGCTGGCGAGCCTCGGCAGATGTGGCATGGCCATCATCATCTGCTGTTGCTAAAAGTTCTCCTCCATCCCGCCATTCGCGCTGGTGCAACCGAGCTCAAACCCACCGCCGCTGGTGATTCACCGGAGGAGATGATGACGGCGATCGCCGACGTTGGTGAGTTTGAGCTCGGTTGCAGCAGTGCGAATGGCGGGATGGAGGAGAACTTTCATCAGCTGCATATGATGACGGCGATGCCACAACTGCCGTGGCTCGCCAACGGCTATGGCGTTGAGTTCGATGGCACCAGCGTGGATGGAGGGGTGCACGTGATGATTAAGCAGCAGATGATGATGATGGCGATGCCACCACCTCAGGGTTCGCTGCTGGAATGGACAGTATGCAACAGCAGATGATGTCAAGGATGCCAATCCCGTCGGGGTTCACCGCCGGAAGGGAGATGCAGCAGCAGCATCAGACGCTGACTGTGTTGCCACCGCTACCAGTGCTCGCTGCTGGAACGGAGATGATGACGTTGATGCCACCGGAGGGTTCACCGTTGGAATGGAGATGGTGAATCACAAGTCCGGGCCGCACGACAACTTCACCAACTGAGAAGAAAACGAGGTCGAATCCGGAACTAGTTGTCCGAGTCCGCCTGAGTCCATTCATTCTGCCGACGCAAGCGTGGAGGGACGTGCATGGCTCCAATCTACAAAGAGATCCAATGCCATCTTCGATCATTTAACAATAATTTTATTTAATGCCTTTAAGAAATTTTCTGTCTCGTTTTGGTCATATGCATCGTGCTTCTAGAAGGCGGTCTCGTATCCACCTAGCTAGCTATCTAGATGATGCATATGTATTTGTGTTTTTCCTGTTGCAGCGTGTATCCAACATAGTGGCTTGTACTGTGTTCTGTATCCATTGCGCCAAATTAATGAAAATACAAGCCTTTCTACTATTCTATTTTTTGGCATAACTTTTAATAGTTTACAGAAGTGTTTTTTCTTGTTAAACTATTGGCTTCTATCGTTTTCATATTGCTACTTAAACATGAAAGATGTCATGTACTCCCTCCGACCCCAATTACTTGTCTCAGATTTGTCTTGATACGGATGTATTTGTATCTAGACAGATCTAAGACAAGTAATTTGAGACCAGGTAATGTGTGTTGTTTCAACATGATTTTTACAAATACGCACACCACCCAACCCCTATGAGTGCTTTCGAGAGACTGGCCGGCATATCATCTTGAGATTTACGAAATGTTTTTAGGAAGAGTGCTTAGCATGTTGAACGTATGTGCAATCCTTTCATAGCTTGACTCCTTGTGGCAGACCGGGCATTGCCTTACCCTGTTTTATTTTATTTTATTTGTTACCTAAAAAACTATTTATTTATTGTTGAACAATCATATTAATTTTCTACCATCAATAATAATCCTGATCTTGCGATGAGATGCAACGAATCTAGGACAACTAGCTATCGGTTAAATTCAGGGTAGCCAATAAATTTAGTGTCAACAGCATCCATGTTATGGTTCTTATCCTTCATTTTCTCGGACTATATATGTATGTTGTTATTACTTGTGTGTGTGCGTGTTTCCACATATGATCTTTTATAGAGATTTTTTTGGTTAAGAAACACGTATTTTTAATGTAAGAAACAAGTATATTTGTTTAGTATGATTCATCGATTTGCACAATAAACAAAGGCTAAGGTATGTTTATTGGTATATTTTCCCCATGACATCTTTGCTGTTTAAGCAGCTATACAGATGAGAAAGTTAGAAGCCAATGGTTCAACAAGGAAAAAACGTTTTTGTAAACTATTCAAAAATCATGCTGTAAAATAGAATAATAAAAATAAAGGCTTGTATTTTCATTAATTCGGCGTAATGGATACAGAACAATGCAAGCCACTATGTTGGGTTGCCGATGCACCGCAACAAGAGAAACAAAAAGGGAAAAACAGAAATACATATGCTGTATCCAGATCAAACCCACGCTGGTGAATGCTCCGTCCCTCCATTCACGCTGGTGCCACCCAGCTCAAACCCAGCGCCGCATCACGTCCTCCATCCCGCCGCTTGCGCTAGTGCCACCGAGCTCAAACCAAGGATCTGGCTCACACCCCACTCCGCCTACGAACCCCGGCGTTGGCATCACCGTGACCATCTGGTCCGTCCCTCCATTCAGGCTGGTGCCACCCAGCTCAAGCCCACCGAAGCCTGCGATCGCTGTCATTAGCTCCTCCATCCAGCCGTCGGCGCTGGTGCCACCGAGCTCAAACCCGCCTCCGACCGCGAACCCTGGCGTTGGCATAACCGCCATCATCTGCCCCGTCCCACCGAGCTCAAAGCCACCGCCGCCGGCGAGTAGCTGTGGCGGCAGGGGTGCGAGGGCTGCCTCCCGGTCACGGCGACCGTCCTGGAGGACCTGGTTGACGCCCGCCGCCACGGTGACCTGCGCCTCCCTCAGCGAAGCCATGCAGGCCAGCATGTCCGCGTCCCGCATGTCGCGCTGGTCTGCGACTGCGTCCAGCCACGCCGCCGCCTGGCTCCCCTCCGCGCGACCCTTCGCTATGGCCTCCCCCCAGAGCTCCTTCCGCTGCTCCACCGCGTTCTGCTCCGTGCACAGCTCGTTGTACTTCTGTTGCAGCTGCTCTGCCAGCCGGTCCGGGTCGACGGCGGCGCCCATGCCAGCCCCCGCCGCCCCGGCCTGCTCCGCAGGGCGGAGGAAGCGGTCGACGATGTCCTCGGCGGAGGGGTGGCCGAAGGAATAGGCCTTGCCGGCCCGGGAGTAGACGACGGCGGCCACCTGGGCGCCGCACATGACGGCCAGTTCGTTCGCCTTGCGAAACAGCCCCTGCCGGCGCTTGGAGAAGCAGATGTCCCGTGCAGCCTTGTTCTCGATGCGCCGGATTACGATCTTCTTCCGCCCCATTGCAACCCACCCTAAAACCTTTGCGCCCTCTCTCAGAGTGTTTGATTATGGGAATGTCTAATTGACATCTGACTGTTTTCCTTTTTGAAAACAGTCAAATTTCTTGTCCAATGACAACGTTACAGCTGTACTATCAGGGCAGTCATCAAAAAAGGAGAAAATCAAGACGCTAACGGGTCGGACAACCATCCAGCCCGCTTTCTCCAGCAAAACAAAACATCCACCTATTCAGGGACCACAACAGTACTTTCTGGAAGCTTGCAAACCATGCAACAGATCAAAAAACGCTATACAAAACCCCCACCTCCAGAAAAAATGCTAGACAGATCTCACCTAACCGGATCTGGGGACACCCATGGGAAAGGAAGAGGCGACCATGACAGATCGGGGAGGAGGAGAGCTCCCAGGAAGAGTAGAACGAAGAGGAAACACACAGATGACAGACGGGGATGAACCTGCTAATCACGAAAAAGATGAAGAACATGATCCACAGGTCAGCAACTCCACTGCATCATCTCTTCTTTCACCTCTTTATGCTCTTACGTTGATAGTTTCACAAGATTTTCCTTCGTTCTACTCCGAAACATAGGGGAGAGATCAACATCAGAACCACAACAAAAATTCCACTGTAAATTCCTCTACATTCACTATGTAAATAGTCTTGTATCCTCTAAATTTACAGTGTAAATTTCTCCTAAATTCCAGAGTAAAAGTAGTTGCAAACAAAATGAAGTAATTACAAATGCAAGAACATATACACTGCAAAAAACACAGTAAGTACAGTGTAAATTCGTCCTAAATTCCAGAGTAAAAATAGTTGCAAACAAAAGGAAGTAATTACAGTGGAAGAACATAGTAAATTACAGTACAAAAAACACAGTAAGTACACTGTAAATTCCTCCTAAATTATAGTGCATTTTAATTACTTCATTTCTGAAATGACAAAAAACAAAATAAAGAAAAAGCCAAAATAACAAAAGAAAGAAAGAACATAAAAGACAAAATGGAACATACTTGATTGAGATAGAACTTCAAAAGAGCTTTGTCGAACCCTCCTTCGTCTCGAGATAGATCCTGCAAACAAAAAAGAAATAAAACAGATCAAACAAAATTAAATCAAAACTAAAAAAATAAAACAATAAAGAAGAGAAACGTAAATAAGTAACTACCGGAGACATAGGATAAGAACCATCTTCTGCAAAATCATTAGGCAAAAAAGCTTCACCAACTGAATCTGCACTCTCTAATGATGATACTAATGGAATATCCTGATGACACACTTTTCATAGCCTACCCATTTTAAACCTGTAAACGGAAACCACACTGGAATTTAATAATTTTGGTGAAACCATAGTTACACTGGAACTACAATCAAATTACACTGTAAAAATCCATTAAAATTACATTGGAATTAAATGGGTAAATTACACTGAAAAGTACACTGTAAATACAATCAAATAACACTGCAGAAATCTCACTCAAATCACACTGGAATTACACTATAATTACAATTGAAATTGCACTGGAAAATAGCGCTGGAAAAAATGGGTAAAAATTACAGTGGAATTACACTGTAGTTACACTGGAAATAGCACTGGAATTAAATACACTCGAATTACACTGTAATTACAATTGAAATTGCACTGGAAATAGCACTGGAAAAAATGGATAAAAATTACACTGGAACTACACTGTAATTACACTGGAAATAGCATTGACACTGGAATTACACTGTACTTACAATTGAAATTGCACCGGAACTAATGGGTAAAAATTACACTGGAATTACACAGTAAAACAGACATAAAGTTACAGTAACATTCTCGGAAAATTACACTGTAATTACAATAAAAAATCACCCCTAGAAGCAAAAATACAACACTGTCTATGACAACACTGAAAGTGACTGACCAAACAATTGACAACAGTGAAAAGGAGCACCAGGAGCCAAATTTCATTGGAATATATAAAAAGCTAGAGCAGGAACATTAACAACTAGCATAAGGGCATGATCAGGAAGCATCAGGGAGCATGGCAGCATGAACAGGAACATGAGCTCGGCATCTACAAGTACACCTACAGCATCCCGCTCATCTACCAGTACACCTACGGCATCCGCACCAACATGAACACGAATCCCGCTCAACTACATGAACATGAGCAGGTACAAGAGCACCTACAGATCGGCCTCTCACCTATAGAAACATGAGCACCTACACGAACATCTACAGAAAATCCACACGCTGCATCTAAACGGACAAAAAGGAGAACAAAACAACCACAAGCCGCCCTCCCACCTACAGAAAATCCGCACAAAACAACCACAAGCCGCCCTCTCACCTACAGAAAATCCGCACGCTCCAACTACACAGACAAAAGGGGAACCACAACAATCAAAAACCCTACCAATCACACCTACCAGCGGCTGCACCAGATGGGCGAGAGGTCGGCATGAACTGACCTAGATCTGGAACGAACAAGAGCAGAGCAGCACAAGCGCGCGACGG